CAAACTTTCCCCTTTCCTCCCTCTAAGCCCTCCAATATAATCCTTTCTGCCTTCCTTCAAATTCTTTTTTCATTAATTTGTATTACATACATATATGTATTTGTATGTACCTATATATTCCTAAATATAACATGCTGAGTCTATACAATGTTACTTGGGTGTATGTTTTCAGGGGTGTGTCTTCTGGTAGGTCAATGACAGTACAGTGGATAACCCCACACCTAGGAGTATATGGACAGCACAAATAGGAGTCATAGTTATTTAAAAATGAATGAATAAACAAACAAACAAACAAACAAACAAACAAATAAGAGGGCATGAATTTGGGGGTGGGTAGCAAGATGAGGATGGATCAGGGAGTAGTTAGAAAGAGGAGTTGGGCAATTTTGATAAAAATACATTGTATGAAATTCTCCAAAAACTAAGACAACAAAATCTAGACAAAAAAAAACCTCTTAGAATAAGATATGTAAGACCTACTCTATGAGTTAGAACCTATACTGTTATTCATTCTCAGGGCCAAGAACATGTGGCTAGATAGACCATAGGCCCTAGACATATCTAGTACTATTATTCCACTAAATGGACATAGTATTAAAATAACTCCAAATGACTTATTGCTATACTCGTAGATCAGTCTACCTATCAGCCCTTACCAGATAGGCAACTTCCTGCAACAGATGGAAACTAGAACATGGACCAACAATTGGTCAGTGTACAAAGAGTAAGAAACTGATTGCTCAGGCTTAAGTGTTATGTTTATAACACCCCTTTCCCTAAGGCTCGGGAATCTTCCAGGCAGAGGGGACAGAAAATTGCAGAAACTAGAGGTGGTGAATGACATCAAGAAAACAGTGTTTTCTGGCACAACTGGGAAGTAGCACATGTGAACTCAAAGTGATTGTGACAGCATGCACAAAACTTACACAAGCTCAAGTCAGACAAAGTGCAGCATGGGGGCAGGGGGGTGATAGCCATTAGGTCTCACTCCTAGCTGAGGAGTGACTATTGACCCTTAATAGGTGCGGAGAGAGAGAGAAAGTCAGTTTGTTTTTGCTTTTGTTTTTTTCCGTAGTGTTACCCTTGGTAGGCAGACCACACTACAGGGAAGTCACACACTTGAAAGTAGCTGAACAATACAACTTGGAATCAATAGGTTTTAAAGGAAAGACAGAGAATGTGAAATTGTGTGGGTAGGGATGTAAGGTGAATCTGAGGAGTATAGGGGAATGAATATCATCAAAATATGCTCATTGTATGAAATTCTCAAAGAATTACTAAAATATGATTTTAAAAAGATATAGTGAAAATATATTTTAAAACACAATTTTATCATATTACTATCTCCTTTAAAAATATATGGTAAATTTTATACACTCTATTTCAGTATTACCATACCCTTTTGGTATGCATGTTTTATGGTATGTATTTTATTATTTAGAGGAACATTTACTTTTAAGCATAAAAAGAAGCATTTATGTGGGATAGAAGCCCATGGGAATGACAATCACTCTTACAGGGCAGAAGGTCTAAAACCTTCCAGGCATAAGAAAATGACCCAAAAAATATGCAAAATATGCAAAGACAGAAATTGCCAACAAGGAAATGGAACACAGACAACGTAACTCACAGATACATACTGGCAAAAGCAGTGCACCTGAATTCCTGGAACACTTGTTCTGAAATAATCCAATCCTATGGCAATGCTGAGTGAGCAGAACTTCAACAATGAATAGTAACCACCATAAAATCCAGCACATGTGCTACAGAGGCAGGGCAACATTGAATCAAGTTCATTCCCTCATCAGGAATTATTCACCATTTATTTTGTGTTGGGGTCTGTACTAGGTCTTGAAATGATTATGAATTTGTCAGAGAATGTACTTTGAGAACTATAGGCTAGTAGAAGAATTAAAATATACCCATGCAAATAGACTGTGAGCAACTAAATTTCAGACATCTCTACAAGGAACACACATACCCCCTATCCCATATCACCATATCTACACAAATATTTTAATATCTGGGGCCAGGATATATTCAATCAGTCCTTTATATAGGAGGACATTAGGATTAAGTGTGAATTATTCTTAACCATCAATGGACTAGAACTTCATATTGTTTAGTTTTAGTTCAACTAAGCACAGTTCTATAGTTCTATAATATACATCATACACTTGTTATGGTTGTGGTGTTTTCAACCCTTCAAGATTAAGTGGAGTCTTTGGGGGTGGAGCCTAGCTAGCAGAAGTAGGCCACTGGGAGGAGATCTGTCCCTGGTTCCTCTCTGGCTAAAGGTTTCAGTTAGTATCTGGTTGCTGGTTCTCCTCTACCTAGATTAACCCTTCTCCTGAGACTCTCTTTATTCTTACAGTGTGTACTCATTTCTTTCATATTGCTGTGACAGACATCTGTCAAAAACAAATCAAGATGGGAATGATTTAGTTGGGCTCACAGTTTCAGAGGGTTTTAGTTCGTGAATGCAAGGAAGGCTTGCTTGGGAAGTGTCACTCACAGCAGTGAGGGCTTCATCACAGCAGATTAGGAAGCAGGAAGTCAGAGATGAACCAGGGGCAGATCTACTCCCAATGGCCTACTTCTGCTAGCTAGGATCTACCTCCGAAGGCCCCACTTCCTGCAAAATAGTGCCATCACTGGGGACAACTGTTCAAAACATGAACCTGTGAGGGCATTTCAGATTCAAATCATAACACATGATGCCCTGTACTGTGGTGCTCATCCCTGGGTCATAGATGTCCTAATCACACAGCTAAAGTGTCACCATACTCTACATCATCAGGTGGTGGGGGGTTCTTCCTTCTAATACCTTCAGCAGGAATACTATGGTGCATAGTTGGTCACACAGGAATGGCTGTCATTTTAGGAGTGTGTATTAGTTACTATGCTTGCTATTACCAAAATACTTGGTAAGAAGCAACTAGGGAAGTGTTTGCTTTGACATACATAATCCATCACGGCACCTGGAACATGAGGCACCCACAGTCAGGAAGCAGAGAGCCGTGAACATTAGTGCTCGGCTCCTTTTCTCCTTGTCACTCAATCCAGGATCCTACCCCGTGAGACGGAGTTACCACATTTGGGGTAAGTCTTCACTGTTTAATAAAACTTTGCTGCAAACACCCTCATAAACATACCCAGGAATGTGCTTCCAAAGTAATTCTAAATCCTGACAAGTTGACAGGATTAATCATTACAGGGAGAGATCCTGTGGTTTTTTTTACTTTTCTGAACCTTGGGTGACTCGGCAATTTCTGGCCAGTCATTTCTCTAACTACACCTGGCTCTTTTGGTAAAAGAATAACTTAGGGTGAGTTAAGAAAGAAAGATTTCCAGACCTGCTGTAGCTCGGTAATTTTATGATTTAACTATATCACAGTCATGCCAGCTATATCAACATTTACCTTAACCTTGCGGCTGCAGTAACATGGAAGATCAACCAGTATAATCATGTCATCCTAGTTTGTAGGAATTCCATTTCTCTCATTTCTCATTGTATATCCAAAATTGTACAGATTCACTATTAGCCAAATTGGCATTTTTGAAGTATTTCTTTTTTACTTTTGTGCATAAAATATCAAACTATATATTATGTAAACTATATATTATATAAAAAAAGTAGATCTGTGTTTAAATGAAGTAAGTGTACATGCATTTTGTTTATTCTTTAAAAATGTTACCATCAGTTATGTACTGAACACAGGAAGCTCCTTTGAACTTCTAGACTCATGAAGGAAACTGACACAGACACTAACAACTGTTATGTAGGTCAATGTGATAAACGGAGCATTGGCCACAGTCAGGGAAGAAGGGGGGACTTGAACCAGCAGTGGGGGAGCCAAAGAAGACCTCCTGGAAGAACAACACAGGAGCCGAGCCCTAAAGAAGCACAGCAGTTCTCAGGACAAAAGAAGACAACACTGAGCAGACAGGGGAAAACAGGCTTGCACAGGGCAGAGGGCAGGAGCAGCCTGTGATGCTCACAGCATGCACAGAAAGATAATACAGGAAGAGAGGGAAAAGATGATAGAAGAAGGGTAGGGGGCCCCTTACAAGAGCTTTCTTCCACAGCGGAAGGCGACATCTCACTGTTAAAAAGTCTCCAGAATACTCCAATTGGGAGAGTCCACATTAGATTCATGTCTTGTCAGATCACTCCTGAAATAAATTGGAGGCAAAAGAAGCTGAGCATGAAGCTGCCTACTTCAGCTGAGAAATGCTGAGGGTTGAGGAAAATAGCAGCAAGATGAGAGGGAAGAGAGAACAGATGCAGACGGCATCCCAGAGGCAACGCCAGCAGGAGCTGGTGACAGGCTGCGGGTGGGACCCAAGCAAGCAGTCATGTCCAGGAAGACCCCCGAGTGTCTTGTGATAACCAAATCTCCCCTCCCCCCGCAACAAAATTACCTCTCCCTGGCTGTGAGGCCATCTGCCAATGTCCAACCCATGGCAGCTTCCATTTCCAAATGGAACCCATGAATCAACAGAAATGATTCCTAACGTATATCAGATCTTAAAGTCCTAAGGGCCAGAGACCAATCAACTGAATCAAAGTATGTAAACCACAAATGATTCCCATCTATTCACCACATGAAGCTACGAAGTGTCATACATAAAACTTCAAGGTGAGTGAATAAAGCCATGATTAGGTGGTATAATATTCTTGGGGAATATTTTATCCATAGCAAGTACTGCCAAACCAATTAATAACAGCTGAGTCTCCATATGCCAGAGCAATCAGGCCTATGACTGGACATTAAGAAATAGAGCCTTCACCCCCAATTTCTATGTTTCTCTAATACTCATAAATATTTAATTTAAACTGCAAGGCAGAAAGGTCAACTTACCATCTTAACACCAGGAAGCTAAGCTGAAAACCATAGAGCTTTTGCTTCCATTTGAATTAATATTCTAGTATTCATTCTTCTATTGATTTGTAAAGATGGTTTTATGGTAGATACTTTATATTTACACTAAAGAAACACAATCCATATTCACTTTAATGTGCCATTTTGACTCATTTCTGACAAGGGGAAATACATATATTTTCCTCACACCGGTACAAAACAATGAGGATGGCTGTCATCATCTGATTTAAGATGCTGGAGAGTCTTCATAAAGGACTTCATCTACCTTCATGTCGTGCTCATCCACTGGGACCTGGGGACAGATCTGCTCTTTGAAAGCCAAAGCCAAGGTGTAGGGCTTCACTTCCTGATGCTGCACACAGCGCTTCAGGTAGGTGTCATAGTAGCCCTTGCCCCGCCCCAGCCGGTTGCCATCTCTGTCAAACCCGAGGCCTGGCAAGAAGATGAGGTCAAGTCCACCTGTGGAAACAGGAATGTATTTGGAGTATCAGTGATTACTGCAAGATCACTTCAGGATAGCCTCTGGGTTTTATTTCTAATAATATCAATGCTTTTTATAATTTTTAAAGAAATATGTGATCGTTGTGAAGTTATGAAAAAATCAAGTTGGACAAAGAAGGAAATAATTATTCAGCTACTTAGTTAGTCCTGTATCCATCCTCCAGCAGTTCTTGGTAGTCTCCTAGCCTCATCCACACCAGCTAGAGGGTTCTCCATGGGCAGAGTCTCACAACTTCCTTTAATTCTAACATGCAGCTGACTCTACATACCTGTCCGGTTTGGGAGGCAGTTCCCTGGGATAGTGACAGATGGAGGGGTGTGAGAGGGTAATGGAGGGGTGTGAGAGGGTAAGGGAAAAGCAGAAAAGATGGAGCTGTTTTCCTAGCTATTAAGAGTACCAAGCAGCCCACTCTTCCTCCTCTCCCTCCCATTGACAGGCAAAGGTAGGCTCAGACTTTCAGCTTAGCTGGGGGCCAGCCACTCAGACAGCACTGTCGGCACGGCATACTACGGGCGGAAGGAAGCCAAGGACTCTCCAGCACAGGGTGCTAGAAGTAGTGGTGTTCAGACTGCCAGCTAGACTGGCCCCTGCTTTAAAGCAGCTGCTGATTTCCTGTGAGGTGAACTCTACTTGCTGTTGCTGGCATGTACCTGTCCACCCCACCTGGCAACATCCCACACCAAAGAGCTCAGGTGCAGTCAGATTCAATCCTCTAAGCCTACCTATCTATTTTGCTAAAAAATTGGTGTCACTGACCTTTCCTCTCTGCCCTGTCCCTGTCATTTATCACTATAGAAATGAACAGTATCCTGGACACTTGGATTGAACCCTACTCCCTAGGGTCCTCTTTATGTTTCCAGAGCAACTGACTTAAAGTTCTGTCTTCTAACCCAGCTACACACATACATTCTCTGTGATTTTCACCTTTCCACGATGAGAAAAAGGCATTTTGTAAAGTCCTCAGAGGGGACAAAGAGTCCCTGCCTTCAGGAGATGGCAGTTCAGTTAAAATAAAAACTCAGACCAAGACAACATCTCTATCAATTGTCCCAAACAACAAAGACAAGGGCTCTAGAGACTCCAACAGAAACTAAGTAAATCTAGCTGGGTGAAAAGATCAGGTCATGGGGTATTTTGATTTGACGTGGATTTTTAAGAACATGTCAAGAGTCAGGTTATATCCTAGAAACCGAAAGAAGGGTAGTGGGAGCAGTGTGTTGACAAGGGGCAGGCAACAGTTTTGTTTGCTGGAGAAGGAAGATAGGAGTAAAGAGTAAGAAGAGAGATAGGTGTGCAGTTCTCTCCAGCACTAGTCATAAAAGTACATAATGATAGGACATGGCATGCAGATTTCTCAGAAAATTAAAAGAACTACCATAAAATCTAGCAATCTCACTCCTAGATGTTATCCAAAAGAATTAAAACAAGATCTTAGAGGGTCTTTGCCCTTCCATTTTCATTGTAGAATTTTACAGAACAGCGAAAAGGTAGAGTAGCCTAAATGTCCATCACAGTAACAACTGATCAGAACAAACAAACAAAAAAGACGACGACGACGACGACAACAACAACAAAAAGCAAATCCCGTAAAAAAAAAAAACAAAAAAACAAAAAAACAATGACATCATGAAATTTGCAGGCAAATGGATAGAACTAGAAATATCATCCTGAGTGAGGTAACCCAGACTCAGAAAGACAAGTATGGTATGTGCTCACTCATAAGTGGATACTAGATGTAAAGCAAAGGATAACCAGACTACAACCCACAGCTCCAAAGAAACTAGGAAACAAGGAGGACCCTAAGAGGGATGCATGGATTACCCTGGGAAGGGGAAGCAGATGAGATCTCCATGAGTAAACTGGGGGCGAGAAGGGCAACAGAGGGGAGGGGATGGGGGATGAGAACATGAGCGAACAGGATGGTTGAGCTAGGGGAGGGACGGAGTGGGAGAGCAATGAAAGAGATATCTTGATAGAGGGAGACATTATAGGGTTAGGGAGAAACCTGGTGCTAGGGAAATTCCCAGGAATCAACAAGGATGACCCCAGCTAAGACTCCAAGCAGTAGTGGAGGAGGTGCCTGAACTGGTTTTCTCCTCTAATCAGATTGTTGAACACCCTAACTGTCATCATAGAGCCTTCATCCAATAACTGATGGAAGCAGATGCAGAGATCCACAGCCAAGCACCAGGCCAAGCTCCAAGAGTCCAGTCGAAGAGAGGGAGGAAGGATTATGTGAGCAAGGCGGGGTTAAGATCATGATGGGGAAACCTATAGAGACAAATGAATCAAGCTTGTGGGAACTCATGAACCCTAGACCGACAGCTGTGGAGCCTGCATGGGACCAGACTAGACCCTCTGCATGTGGGAGGCAGTTGTATAGTTGGGTCTGTTCAAGGGGACCCCTGGCAGTGGAATCAGGATCTATCCCTGGTGCATGAGCTGGCTTTCTAGAGCCCATTCCCTATGGTCAGACACCTTGCTCACCCCTGATGAAGTGAAGAAAGGCTTGGTCCTGCCTCAACTGAATGTATCAGGCTTTGTTTACTCCTATGAGAGGCCTTACTCTTTTGGAGGAGGGGATGGATAGGACAGGGGGGAGGGGGGAGGCTAGGGGGGGGAGCAGGTGGAGGGATGAGAGGGGGATCTGTGGTTGGTATGTAAAATGAACTTAAAAAATTTCTTAAATAAAAATTTTAACAACAAAAAACAAACTCCATGGCACATACATGTGGTAATATATTAATCTACCACAAAATAGAAGAAAATTTTATAATAGTGGGCATGGATGAACTGTGAGGATACTACGCTAAATGAAAAAAAAATCACACAAACACATGTACTACCTGATTCCACCTGCAGGCATCTAGAATAGTAAAGCTTTTATAAACAGAAAGCAGAATGCCCTTTGCCAGAGGCCTGAGGAAGATGCTTTTGATAAACCCAGCATTCAACATTTCAGTCATACAAGATGGAAAAGTTCTAGAGGTCTGTGATATGACATTGTGTTTATAGCCAAAACAAATGCACTCTACACCTACAATTTAAGAGGTTACATCTCATGTGGCATACTAGATAACATAATCAAAAGTATAAAAGCAAAGCAACAGAAAAGGAAGGCAACAGAACAGCCAGGAGAACCACCAGTGCCAGCTCCTAAGAGAAGGCAGAGAAAACCACCAGTGCCAGCTCCTAAGAGGAGAAGGCAGAGATAACCATCAGTGCTAGCTGCTAAGAGGAGAAGGCAGAGATAACCATCAGTGCCAGCTGCTAAGAGGAGAAGGCAGAGATAACCACCAGTGCCAGCTTCTAAGAGAAGGCAGAGAAAACCATCAGTACCAGCTGCTAAGAGGAGAAGGCAGAGATAACCACCAGTGCCAGCTCCTAAGGAGAGGAGGCAGAATTCTGGAGCCGCCACATTTATGCTGGTGGAAGAACAGAATGCAGAAAGGAAACAAATAAGGAAAGCCATTCTTTGCCCTCAGGCTAGAGGTAAGCTTGCTGTCATTGCCCTCTTCCTCCCTGCTCCGCCCTGTGCTTGGTCTGCTGCTCTCCCTGGAGTCTACCTCATAGAGCTGAGTGTATATGTCTCAGTGACCCCATTGGGTAGCAAATTTCCTTGAATGCCATAATTTTTTCCAAGTCATGCTGCATGTTTGAATTTTAATAGACTTCTAGAACACAAAGACCCTGAGAGACAAGTACATTATCTTCAGATAGATCAATCCTGGTATAACACCCCCTACTTTTATACCTCTAAGGTACATATATTTGGATTAAAAAAGTAATAT